ACCAAAACCAACTCAAAAGACCCAACTTTTGAATCCACCCAATCATTTCTTACCACCTTTACAAACTCCAAACAATCAATCGAATCTTCCCTCACTCAAATCCAACAAACCCCAAACCAAGATCCCAATTCCGACCTCGAAAGAATCTCCAATTCCATTTCCGACCTCGAAAAACTAGTCGCTGAAAACTCCTACTTTTTACCCCCATACGAAGTCCGCTCTTCTCTCAAAACCATCTCCGACCTCAAACAAACCCTCGATTCCGTCACCTCCAAAGTCAAACCAAGAAAAAAATTCTCCTTCAAAAACAAACCCACCAAGAAACCGGAATCGGAACCAGAACCGGAATCGAAACCGGAATCAGAACCCGAACACAAGACAAGCTACACGATCAACGATTCACCGGGGTTTCGTGGCACGGAAAACGCGATTCTAACAAAGGAATTTACCGGATCCGAGATCCGGGAATTCGTGCTTTCGGATTTGACCAATTGTGAGGTGAAGTTAAAGGGTCGTTTCCGGACATTGTTTATAAACCGGGTCCGGAATTGTAAAATTTACGTGGGCCCGGTGTCGGGTTCGATATTGATTGAGGAGGCGGAGGGGTGTTTGTTTGTGTTGGCATCGCATCAAATTAGGGTTCATGAGGCTAAATTGACTGATTTTTATCTTCGGTGTAGAAGTCGTCCGATAATCGAACGGAGTTGTGGGGTCCGATTTGGACCTTACAGGTTGTGTTATGATGGGATTGAAACTGATCTCAAGGAGTCGAATTTGTATGAGGATACAGGGAATTGGGCAAATGTGGATGATTTTCAGTGGTTGAGAGCTCTTCAGTCTCCAAATTGGTCGATTTTGCCCGAAAGTCAACGGATTGATATGGTTAAGATTTGAATTTTGTTGTTTGCATACTTTTATTTCATTATTTGTGTTTGATCTCAAGGAGTCGAATTTGTATGAGGATACAGGGAATTGGGCAAATGTGGATGATTTTCAGTGGTTGAGAGCTCTTCAGTCTCCAAATTGGTCGATTTTGCCCGAAAGTCAACGGATTGATATGGTTAAGATTTGAATTTTGTTGTTTGCATACTTTTATTTCATTATTTGTGTTGGATCTGAATTCTGTTTTGTTGATAAACGACTTTTTTAGTTTTTTTGTTATAATAAGGTTGTTCAATGTTGAGTTTTAAGAATATATTCTTCAAATAAAAATTTACCGAAAGCATTCTTTTTTTATGTGCGACCAAACTTTCAAAACACTGATCAATTAAGAAAAACAAAGCATCTTCAAGCTATGAATCATGGAAAACGACATCAATACTGCATTTGTCACATGAGATAAGACAGACTAAACAACCTTTGTACCTTTGACACTTTTATAAGTTGTGCAAATCTTTGCAATTTTTATCTATCCAATATATAGCAAATGAACTATATCTAGTTCTTTCCTGTCTTGATCTATGTAGCAAATGGTGTTGTAAGTAGACAAATCACTAATAATTCTATACGAATCCATGCAGTTGCTATGAAGACGACATATAATTGATTGTAACTTGTAAGATATATATATCTCCATAAAACTATTGTAATACAAAGTGGAGCAAAACCATAATAATTGACATTGCAGCATATAAACAACAAAAACACCAAAAGCAGATAACGATTCTTGATTTCTTGTACGTATTGTAGTGAAATGAAGCTCCATGAACACCATAAACTTCTCAAATTTCATGAATTGCCCAAGTGAAAACTTAGAACGCCTTCTAATATGCAATCTGCAGCAAAATCTTCAAATTATAATGCAAAAAAATCATTGAATTGGGGGAAAAATTAGAGAATGAATGTTTACCAAGTTATCCAGTCGAATTGGGTCGTGTTGACCCGATAGATCTGGACCGATTGATTCCCACCGGATCAACCTCAGATCCCCTCCTTAATCTCTCATACCCACCGCCGGATTTCGGTCTTTCTTCTTCCTTCGGAGATTTAAATGATACTTGACGGAGATCCAACCGGGAACCAGATCCGTTTTGCTTATCCTCCCGTCTGACAAAACTAGGTCGAAGATGCGGTGGAACAAATTTATTCGTTTTCGGCGACACCGGCAAGTTCTTATTCTGTCCGCCGGGAGAGGCTAAGGGAGAAAGTGGTGGACCGGTCCCGGTTCGGTCGAGGGGGCGGAGGGAAATGGAATCCTCCGGATCCGGTTGCTGAACGGCAGCTGCGGGGGAAGGTTGTGGAGGTGGAATGAGGGATTTGGGAGAAGGGAGGTTCAGGACAAGCATGTTGCCATGGATGCGTGAATTTGAGAGAATGGTTTTGTTACCTGGAGTGGCGGTGGTTGTCGATGATGAAGACCGGCGATGGTTGTTGACGGTGGATGTTGTTTTGTTTTCATAGATGTCGTTGAAGTTAATAGCGGTGTACTTATTGGCTCTTGCCATCCACAACCACCGTACTCCGCCGCAGAACAACCGTGGATTAGAAGAGAGAGAAGAAAGACGATTTCTTATGATAAAGCGTGCCGGACGGAGTTCTAATCGCCGGGAAGGTTTTTTTAGATCAGGAGACGTGTGAGTGGGGACCGGCGGTGGTCGCGTGGTGGAATAGACAGTGTGGGACCCACACATTTGATTCCTTTCCACTAAAGTTTGTTAAATATTTCAATTAGTGACACAATCATCTTAAAGTCATAGTATGGCCACCGAAGTTTCTGAAATTTGTTGTTTGCCCATGTAACTATGTAAGTCTGATAATACTAGTTCTTTTGGCTCGATTTTGATTCAAAATTGAACTGAAATTCTTTTTTTAAGTCCCAAAAACCGATCTTATGAGTAGATCACTTTTTTTTGGTACTTGACAATGCATTAAGATAAATGATGATAGGTTGTAATACTTAAAATTGGTCTTTGTCATTTTGAAAATGTTTTACTTTAAGAATAACTATCGAAAACAATATGTGGTTGGTTCCTATCACAGTTGATATTTTTGTCTAACTCTTTCATAAATAGGACGTTAAATCTAAGAAAAATGACCAAAATACCCATAATGTTATCTTTTATATTAGTTCACCATTCTAGAAACTACATGGACCAAGAATGTAGATAAACGACATTAACTAGAAACATATATGCATCCCCCTCCCATCATCACCTACTCACCATAACCCTCTGACCCCCCAAAAAAAGCACTCTGATTCGCCAGCCACCTACAACTATCGTCTCTAGATACATAAGGCCTACTTGCACCGTCATCAGAACCCCCACACACAAAAGCTACAATTGAGGAAACTTAAAAAAAATTATGGTTTCGAAACCTCTTTTTTATTAGGTGACAATCATGTAGTGTTTGGGTTAGCGGACAATAAGTTGACGGACCAGAAACTTCAACTCCGACACGACCATATAAATATTTGTGTCGTCCACCTCAACTTAATCCAAATATGTCAAACTCGGAAATGACTCGTTTAACCCGTTTAATTATATGATTTTACTGGTTTATTGGTCAAATTCAAATTCATTTGTTAGATTTGGGTTTGTGTATGATACGAAAAAATCTAAATATTACATATTTGTTTATTAGTCCTTAGTTTCTTCTTTATTTAATATATATATATATATATATATATATATATATATATATATAGAGAGAGAGAGAGAGAGAGAGAGAGCGAGAGAGAAGGCTGATAACGAGGGAATAAATATGGACCACTCATTTCGAATATGTCGCTTAAATGCTTCAGCATACCGGACCGACGGAACACATCATATATATATATATATATATATATATATATATATATATATATATATATATATATATATAAGTATAGAAGAAGTGATTATTCATATATGAATATGGCGATGGTGGATGGTGGCGGATGTGGTGGTGATGGCGGTAGTCGTGGTAGTTGGCGGTGACGGAGGGGACGTGGTGGATTCATATATGAATACACTTACATTTATATTTATATATGAATATTACTCAGCTTTCATCGCGCCGATACGATAGAACGTTTTGCGGAAAAATAAATGATTGACTGATAGTGATTCTCCCATTTTCAACATTTTGTATTTTATTTATTGAGCTTATATATATATATATATATATATATATATATATATATATATATATATATATATATATAGGTTCAAACGAGAACAGAATAAGATCGAGAACAATTCTAGGTCAACAGAAAATGAACTCACTTGAAGAACATTGTTATGGAACCCTAGAAAGAGAAGATCAACCGAAAATATGGATGGAAATGCGGATGTCGGCAACTCTGGATTTTAGATCGATGGGTTCTGGTGGTTTCCGGTGCCGTGTTTCAGGCAATAACAGTGGCTTTCGGCAACAATGATGTTCATGGATGGAGGTTTATGAGGACGATGATGTTGAGTGAAGGAGAATAAAAGGGAGAAGGGTAAAGGTCGGCTCTTGGTGGGGGGTAGGGTTTGTGATATGGGTTAGTTTATTTAATGATATTAAAGGCTAAATATATAAACTTAATAAAATTATAAGGACGTTTTTTGTAATTTAAATTACTTCTAAAATAGATTGCATATCATTAAAGAAAAAACATGTGTCAATTGCTGGTTGGTTTCTAACTTGATGCCCTAGCTATTCATTTTCCATATATATATATATATATATATATATATATATATGTGACAGTTCATTTGAGATTAAAAAGAAAATAAAGATCTTGAGATTCAACCTTAGCCATAAATTTCTCATCTAACGCTTCAGTGTACCGGCAACAGCGTGATATGCCTAATCATAAATGATTATATGGCAGAGAAATATAACCATATATGATTATACATGTTTATTTTTATATACGTTTTCCATGTGGTCATTTATAATAAATTTCATTCGACACTATATACTGAGTTAGTAAGTGATACACTGTGAGACCGACTTGTATATTTATAAACTAACAAATACAACTATTCTAATAATGAGTTAATTTAAAAAAAAAAAAAAAAAGTTAGCAATATGCTGAAAAAGCACACGCGCCTCACGCACTTCCCCTTGCCCCCCAGTTCACCGTATTCCTAACCCAAACACGTTTTTCTTGGTTCCCTCTTCGCATGACCACCAACAGACTCCTCACTAGGCGACCTCCTCCGTATAACCCGTTCAACGTCGCCGCTTTACTAACTGAAGAGTTTCTTCATTTCTACCATCGTATAGGATTTTCCGCTCGGCTTGTCAATAATCGAGGTGTTCTTTCATCTTTAATCCCCAATTGTGTGTTTTGGCACCATGTTTACCGCTTGTTTCTGCAAGAGATAGTAAAATTTTGTTTTTCTTATCTGTATGCATTTCCGTTGTCATCGAGTTAACTTCACAACCTCGATATAGTAAGAATTTTTTTTTCCCAAATATACGTATGGCTTGGTGAATTTGAGGTAAACCCTAGCTGATTATACAATGAATTGGTTTCGAAATGCTTTGTGGTCACTTACGATTGAAAAGTTTGTAATGCGATTTGGTTTGCCTTGCATTGAAAAGTCTGTCAATAGTACCATTACTTAACCTAATTCATGCTTCAAAGCTTGAAGATTGTCATGAAACACCATCAAGCATTTGAAATTAAAGTGAGATTGGGGAAAAACCTATTAACTTCTGAAAGAAGAACATCTATGTTCCTTTTATTTTCTTATTCTGAACATGTGATCAATACATGCATCCGAATGAGCATCAATCAGTGCTTAACTTTCTGTTCTTATTTCATTCAGACATGTCAACTGGTGATAATCATCTTGACCAAGGAAATGAAAAAAATTCAAGTAGTAAGGTACGCTCAAAAGCTATTGTGTGGGATTTCTTTGAGAAGATTAAAGGGGACGATGGGTTACAAAAAACAAGGTGCACAAACTGTAACAAAGTCTAAAGTTGTGCTCCAAAGTCAGGAACATCAACAATGAGAAGACACTTACGCAAGTGTTCTCCACAACCCTTAACCCAATTAAGCCCTGAAGCCATCCAATTGTCCAACACCAATGAAGATAACGCTGAGCTGGCGAATGAGGGTAGGGCAAAGAAGAAACTGAAGTATGTTATTGAGGACCTTCATTTGAAAACAGATAGGGAGTTAATGGAGTTTATTTGGATGAATAAGCGAAATATTGTACTCCTTGAGCAAAAGTTGCCTGATAAGGCTAGAGCTATAAAGCAAGCTATTAAGTGCTATGAAGATGAAATTAATCACAGGGCAAAACCTCAGTCTCCTAAGGTTCTTTTTCTATTCACTTGATAACCATTCTTTTCTCCTTCTTGCTTCTTAAAGTTTTGACTTCACTTTTCCAGGAGAATAGTCCAGGTGTCACCAATATAGTGACAGTTAAAATTGAAGTGGATGATCATCTTGTTGCTCAATATGAGAATTCTGGTGAAAACATGACTACAGAGACACATGCAGATGTGAATCAGGTATCTTATTTGAATTCAAATGTTTCTATTAGATATCTCGTCTGCGCAAAAGACGTTAATACCCTCCTTATCCGCATCATAATTTTGACTTTCCTCCATCAGAGAACGAGTCCACATTTGGAAAATGGTAACATGCCATCAAAAGTTGTAGCTGATGATCAATCTGTTCCTGAAAATAAGATTTTTGATGGGAATAAAACTGAAGAAGAGCATGAAGGAAAGCTTCAGATTGTAGCTATACATGGAGATGAGAATCAGGTATTTTGAATATATTAGACTAGTTTATGATTATGAACTTATTTTTTATCTAATCTCGATCTCGTTCTTATTTTTTCTTTTCTTTTCTCTATTTTATTCACAGGCATCCGAACAACAACACAACGAATTAATAAAAGTTTCATCTGTGCTCTCTTTACTAACTTCACCAAATAGTTATTACATTCCTCAAAACAACCCCCTCGATGAAAAAACCGAACAAGCCAAACAATCCCTCATCCAACTCCTCAAAAAAGACTTCAGAACCCTAGTCGGATCTCCCGATGAACAAACCCTAAAATCTTGCATCAAAATCTTAATCAAAAACCTCGACAAGCTTCCAAAGTTCCAAGCCCGAGTCATCGAAACTATTAACACACAATTCGAATCCGCGTGCGAAAATTGGTCCAAGTGGGATAAAAGTATCCAAGAAAGTATCGCGTTTGAGATGAAGGAAGGTGGTAATCTTGAGGTTTTGCAAGAATGGCAAGAGAAAGATGTTGAAGTTGAATCGAAGATATTGAAAGTGGATGCGGATATTGAGAGGTTGAAAGCGGAGTTGCGGGAAAAGGACTTGACCCGAGAGGGTTTGGTCAAACGGAAGTTTGAATTGTTTAATGAAAGTAAGATTTCGATTGGTGAGGCGAAGAAGATTCTTGAAGAGATGGTTTCTCTGCAAGTGCGAAGTGATGTTGCAGTTGATAACATGAATGATCTTAATACCAAGTGGGAACGAATTCGGGAAAAATTTCTTGTTTAAATGACTTTAAAGTTTGAATTGGTTATTTGTTTGTTATTCTAGAGTTATTGCTTGTTTAGTTTGTTAAAGCTGTTGAGAGCGTGTCTAGAATTAATTATTTCGAGGATCAAGTAAAAGATTTTATAAAAAAGATAATAAATTATAAAATTTAGGGCTAATCACAAAACTAACCAAAATACAAACCCTCATACCTCTTCCGATTCATTGATATTGAATCAATTGAAGGCACTTTTAACGCATGTTCATTTGTTTTCATATTATTATCTAGTACAAAATAATCCTAAGTTATAAACCATGATCAAACTGATCTAGTAGTCATCACCTAAGAAAAAAAAACTTTTAACATTTGAATCACAAAGTCAAATACGAAATTTGGTTCTATTTCTGTAATTTTGCTGTTACACATGTACAATTTTCTGTAATTTTATATCATGGATGTTGTAAATTTCTATTTTAGATAGACCATTTTTGTTGCAATTTGCTGGTATAGGAACCATTTCTGTAAATGTTAAAGGGGCTTTTTTTCTTTTTTTTCATAGAGATCTTTTCTATAAAATTTTGTTACAAAAATACCATTTTTGCCTCTGAATTTTGGGTTAGAAATAGCCCATACAACATTAGTTTTATAGATGTAGGCCTAATAATGTGAAATTTGACGTCTGTTTTCCAATAGCCGAACCACAAGTCAAACCAGAAATCAAAATTAGATTAACAGGATCGACCCTAACCTCTAATCCTTCCGCCCCATCTTCGTTCGCTCACGGCTCATCGCTGTACTGGTCTCACCACCGCTGGAATCAACGCTCCACCTCTCACCACCGCTGCCCACTGGTATGTTCCTCAGTTCCTCTATTTCTTTCTTCTCTCTTCTCCGCTGGAAAAAAATGATGGATTCTTCTAAGTTGAAAACGATAAGAAAGCATACAATATTTGTAAAGTAACTTATAGTACTGATTGTTGAAACTGTATAGTGGGTGTAATGTTAATCGGTGTTGATTATCTTTTGTGGGGTCTATATTACTTGATCGATATTTAAAGGCAGCGTTGCTTATGCTGATGTTCTATAGTTCGATTCTTTTTTTGGGTGTTGCTCATAAGTTCGTTGATGTTTTTCTCCGCTGATCCCAAAATTCTTCCTTAGATTTATGATATATGTTTGATGTTTGACTCCTACAATTCCTACAACTAATTCATTGTTGTGAGGTTAAATTTGTTTGGGTTAATGTTTGTCTTGCAACAAGTTCAAATTTGGTTGTAAATATTGTGGGTTAAACCAAAGGTTCAATTATGATTTTCTGTTGCAATCTTGTAACACCCATAAAAATTCTAGCAAATTTAAAACTTTTTAAAACATTTAAAACCATTCAGTTATTATAATTTGTTTTCAAAATAGTTTAAACATCAGAGTTCCCAGAAATCATAATCATAAATCGAGGAAGTATACGGTCACACCTTCGCCTTCCCGCGGTCATCCGCTATACCTGAAACAATAATCGATAAATGTAAGCTCGGAGGCTTAGTGAGTTACCCCCAAAATACTCACACACACAACAATACACATAATATAACAAACAGCATACTATGGGTCCAATCATCCATCGGGATGGAATACCCTAGGCCCTCAACCATCGGGTTTGAATGCCCACATGCTATGAGTCCAATCATCCTCGGGATGGAATACTCCCGGCCCACAACCATCGGGTTGGAATGCCCACACACAATACATATATAACAATACTATGGGTCCAATCATCCATCGGGATGGAATACCCCATGCCCCTCAACCATCGGGTTCGAATGCCCACATACTACGAGTCCAATCATCCATCGGGATGGAATACTCTCGGCCCACAACCATCGGGTTGGAATGCCCACATAACCAATCAAACATGTGTACCTATATCAGATAATCATATAACAGTCTATAGAGACAACATACTAGGGTCCTATCATCCTCGGGATGGAATACCCTCAACTACCAATCAATCATGTGCACATATAACAGGTAATCCCCTACCAGTATATAGACAGTCAGACCAAACTACAGATCACTAAGCATAATCACATCCTAACAGATCATACTAGCATATAACCATCCTATCTACCAGGATACCGAGCTAACATATCACAGCAGTCATAATTCCAACTAACAAATCAAAGGGCTGGCCTCGGTGCCTTAGACCCTTGAGTATAGTGAGGATAACTCACCTTGCAATGTCGATTTGAACTGAAGAATCGAATTCCCGAATCGTTGTCTCACCAAAAATCCTGAACTATCCAAATAACGAATATTAAGTCAATAAATGGGAATACTAATTTGACTAAGAGTCCTTCAACGAATCATAGTCCATTTTGCCTTTCCTCTAATTTGGGCCAGGGCCCAATACCAAATCCATGATCCACAAGTCCACATATGCAAGGCCCATTATTGGCCCAATTTTCCAAATTGGGCCCAACTCCCTAATTAGGCCTCATTTAAAGACTCTCTACCAAAACTGGCCCAAAATACTCTTATCCAGAGGGCCCATCAAAGCCTAAGTCCAACTAGTCCAAAGGTGGCCCAATCCCGAAGCCCAAATCGCAAAAGCCCAACAGAGGGTCGTACGCTGGGCGTACTCCTCTGGTACGCGGGGCGTACTCCTTCTCGTGTTGACCACCATCGGGGTGGTTAACCCAGTATGTTGGGCGTACAGAAATTACGCTGGGCGTACGTGGGGTTTTGCCAAAACCCTAATAAGTGCTTAATGGCTTAAGCACTTACGCCCATATTTCAGATCCATCGACAAAAAGTGTCTTAGAGCCATGAAGTCTTGAACTTTATTACTTTGGACGTCCAAAAAGCTCTTAATCCATGGTCTTAATCCATTAAGACCTTTCTACTTCATGCATGGGACAACTTAAGCTATTGGGACCTCATTTTTATCACTTAGGACCTCTTCAAGGGTCTGAAAGGACAGCTTATATTGTCCAAATCACATCATGCATCAATTTGGGGACTTTTGGGACAAGTATGGTTCCATAAGGCTAGAATAGCTAGATCTATATCATGCAAGCATAAAGTTTGAAGCTTTTTACCTTCTGGAGCTTCTAGGGCACCAAACAACTTCAGATGTACAAGCTTGATCTCCTTCTCCAACACCTTGATGCAACACCTTCTTCTTCTACTACTCAAAATACACTTTATAAGCTCACACACTCAAGGAAATGATTAGGGTTTGGGGAAAACAGCTCTAAACAGTGGAGGCTGAGGTAAGGGATGGTTATGAGCTCATAAGGTTGTTTATATAGCACCCAAACCCTAAATATTAGGGTTTCCTTCTGTCATGAGTACGCCCAACATACTAGGGCGCGCCTAGTACACTCAGCGTACTCTTATGTACGCGCAGCGTACTCAACCTGATCCCCAAAATTGCAACTTATCCCTTAGGCTTCTCATGGCTTCACCCTTTCATCCCCAGGGACTATAAATGACAAATTTTGGGATGTTACAAATCTTCTGTATAATTCTATTATACACGGACCATTTATGTTGCAATTTTCTGCCATGAGGACAATTTCTGCAATTCTCTCTGCATATGACCTTTTTCTGTAAAATTCTATTACGGGTGTGTTTGGGATTTCTTTTTTAAGTTAAAAGCCATTTTGTAAAAAGGACTTTTTCTAAAAGAACTTTTTTTAAAAGTAGGTATTTAAAATGTGTTTGGGTGGACTTTTAAGACTTTTAAGAGATAAAAGCCAAAAATCACAAAAAATTGGGATTTTATAACTTTTAAAAAAGCTCATTTTTGTTCATGGCTAAAAGTTGATTTAAAAGAACTTTTCTATTTTGCCAAACATCTTTTGGACTTTTTTTAACTTTTTGAAAAAGTTAAAAGTTCAAGAGTTGTTTTAAAAGGTAAGCCAAACATCCCCTACATAAGGAGTACTTTTGTTGCAGTTTTCTACCGTATGGATCATTTCTGCATTTGTCTTGGACCTTTTATGTAATTGTTTTTTGTACAGGGACTTTTTCTACAAAATTCTATTAGATAGGGACCATTTTTATGACACAATGACCATCTATGTAATTATTTAAGGATCTTTTCTGTAATTGTTTTCTGTTTATGTACATTTTATGCAAAATTATATTATATAGCGACAATTTCTAGTGTAATATTCCGTCACAGGGATCATATCTGTAATTTATTAGGGACCATTTTCATAAATTATTCTTGCATAATGACCTTTGTAAAATTTCCATCAAACGTATCTTTGTATAAAATTAATTTCCACTGCAGTGTTAGCAAATCGAGGACATGTAGAACGGGAGAAATTGGGAGAAGAAGTCATCTTCATCTTAATTCGGAAAAGAAAATCGTCGATCCTCAATCAGGTAAGTTATTTTCCTCAAATTTCTTTAGCAATGCTCGATCCTTCATTCACAGCAAGTTTTTTGAAAGGTAATGTGAAACCCTAGGTGTCTACTGTATGAAGCGGTTGGGTTTTGTTTTGTTTAGTTTGATTTGATTATTTTGCTATTGATGATATGAAACCGTGAATTTTCTTAGACCTATATTTTATTTATCATATTAGGCCCATGGGTTTCAATGTTCAACCGGATTGTATGTCATCTGATTTGTGCATATCAACTGTTTGATAAAATGCTTGAACCAAAATATATACCTATTTACCTTGTTTTATGTGTAACATCTTCAAACCAAGATATTTATTACCTTGTTTTATGTGTAACATCTTCAAACCAAGATATTTAGGATCTTTTAGTAGTTGCACCTTACATAAATCAATACTTAATTGATAAACAGTGTCATTAGTTTCTTCTTTATTTTCCACCTTATCTTAAGATGATGCTTTGATAAACTTGTTGCAGTTTTTGGTGACATTTGAAGAAACGCCACACGATTTTTACTTATCAAAAAGCAATGAATGAACACACCGATGACATCTCCACCGATGAAACCACCCAACGGAAACATGCCGCCATGATCGACCGCCTATCCAACCTCCACCAGGCCCGTATTTCCACCAAAACCAACTCAAAAGACCCAACTTTTGAATCCACCCAATCATTTCTTACCACCTTTACAAACTCCAAACAATCAATC